GATGCCCCGAAATGCCCTGCGCACTTGCCCACGAGGTGTCTCTGCAGGCGTGTCAGGCGCGACCTCTTCCTCCTGAAATGCAACCGTACGATGCCTGACCCAGCCTTTTCGCGGTCGACGGCCAACAAGGGCGGTGCGCGCAGTGGAAGCTGCCTCGACGGCCGCCCAGATTCGCTGGTCGCACTGCCACGCATGATCCGCGGCGCGAATATCGAAGTCGGGCGGTCGGAACTGCGTCGGCAGATGTGGGAATAGCTGGGCCCATGTGGGATCTGAGCATTGCTCTGGATCATGCGGAGCCTCGTGGGGCCTGGGCGCCCACGGCAAGTATTTGGAGGTAGGGGAAAAAAACGATGCCGCCACAGGCGCATGATCCAGCTGCGCCACAGCAAGGGAAACCTGCTCGTCAACGCCGCGCTGCGGGACCCGCAGGGCCCTCGACAGCACCGCGCAGCCCCTGCGCGTGGCCTGCAATTTGGCACCGGGGGCCACCCACGTTCTGGCGCGCCCAGAAGAGGCCATCGTTAGAGGAGAAAAACTATGCACATACACCGATTCTGGCCAGGCCCATCCTGAGCCCAGGATCGGTGCATACGCCCTCCTACCTTGGCCAGGAAGGCATATGCACCGATCCTGGGTCAAAGATGGGCCTTGCCAGGATCGGTGCATGTGCATAGTTCTCTTCGCCCGAATCGCAGAAGATGGAAGGGGGCCCCACTGCTGCGCATACTGCAAATTCTGCCCGAAGCATTCACCTGGCAGATTCTCCGTCTCATCGCGAATCCCCCCTGCAGCGCCGTCAACCACGATGCGAAGCGCGGCGCTCGCATCCATCACGGCGATGAGATACGCTGCCCCACCCCTCTCTGATGCATGCGCAAGATGGCAAGGTCTTGCTGCAATTGTCGGATCTTTGGCGCGGTCCCCCAGAATGCGGCGCGCGCGCCGCGCGCGCGCGGGGCCGAGAGCAGCGCCGCAGGCGGCGCCTAAAACGATGCGCGCGGCGGCACGCGCAACCTAACATTGCGAAGCGGTGACGCGGCGGCCCCGGGCGCATTCCACTGCCGCGCCGGCGCGCAGAGAGCTAGCTCCCCCTCCTGATGGCACGCCGAGACGCGTAGCACGCAGCAGCCCCCACGCGCGTGGCCCTTGTTGTTTTTTGGGGGGCAAGCGCGTTTCCGCCGCGCCCGTCGGCATGTAGGCCTGGCGGCGATTGCCCCAAGAAGCGCGCCATACGCCCCGTGATATCGAGGCCAGCCCGTCGGGTCGCCCTGGCGCCCCCCGGGCATGCCTCGGGGCCCATGGTGAGAGCGTCGGCGATAGCCGCCCAGTCCTCAGCAGCCCGAGCGCTCGGTTGACGCACCTGCGCGGTCCCCGGGAGGATCTGTTGGGGGGCTTGCGCCGGGCCCCCCGCGCGCCGATTTGCGTCGGGGGAACGCCCCCCAGACTGGCTGGAAAGAAAACGACAGTGCTCTCGTGGCGCGCAGTCGCGCGGGGTTGCCCACGCACTCGTTCCAGGGGTGCGCAACGCGACCGCGCGCGCGTTGATGCGCCGCATTACGCGCGCGAGCGCTCGCACGCACGGCGCGCGGCTGTCCAGAAGAAGTTTTGCCGAGCGTACAGCCCCATGAACATGCCCCATAGGCGGGTACGAAACGCGCCCACCCTGCCAACGGAAAAAGCAGATGGGGCAAGCGGGCAAGCGTAGCATCTGCAAGATCCTAGCTGCGGCCCAGAAGTCCACCTCCAGCTCCGCTCTGAGAGGGGCATGGGGTTCGCTGGATTTCCACCCCTCAGGAGGCCCAGCCATGCGTCCGAGCAGAGAAGCGCCCACAGCTGAAATAGCTCGTTGGCAAAACGCCCACGCTGGTAAGCAGATCTCGCCTCGATGCTTGTCTTGCACCTCCCAGCTGTGGAGCCCGTGAAAGATGGAGGCAGCCGCGAGAGGCCTCCGAGACATAAGGAATAAATCCCGGCAGCGCCTGAACGACGGGGGGGGCGCCAGTAGGGGGCTCACGAAGCAAGTCCCATGAGCTCCTGAATGGGTTCAAGCCCCGGCAGAAGCGAGGGATTGATGCCTCCGGGGGGCCCAATCGGTGTCTCTCTCCTTGTGGCTGGTCAGCGTGACTGGCACGTTCACGCATCCAATTTTCGCGCATCTGTCGCCCCCCCGCGGGGTTCGCTGGAGTCGGAAGAAGCAGAAATAATTGAAGGGGGCAGGAGGAACATGGACCTGAGGCGACGCGGGCAAATTATGTGACCCATCCTGTTGGGGCGGGGTCGCGTCGGCGCTGTCTGATCGGGGGCACAGCGAAAAAACAGAGGGGCCTCAGATGGCGATGTAGCCGTTGACGCCGCCGACGCTGCTGATGCAGTCACTGGGCTGGCTGGAAATTTCGCAACTTCATGAAAGTCTCCTTCGCCCGTGTCACTTGCCACAAGATTGACTGCTTCTTCATGTGGTCGCTCGTGCTGCGATGCTACTTCATTGCGCGCGCTGGCCCTGGTCTCCTTGCGCGGCGCCTGTCCCGCCTGGCGCCCCGGCGGGGCCGAGCGCGCCGGCCGGGGCACTACTGCCGCCCCCCGAGCAACGGCCGCCCCCCATGCGATGAAGACCTGCTGATCTAACCTCCGACGGCGATGGCGGCGGCTTGTCGGGCCTCTGGTTGATCTCGCGGAGCTGCTGCTGCAACAAGTTTATTGTCCTCCTGTCGGGCCTGATTCACTTCCCCAAACTGCTCCTGAACGTCAGCAGCGGTGGTCTTGAAGCCCAGGATATGCGAGAGATGCTGGGACTGCGCGTGCTGCGCAGGCGCGGGCAATCCTGGCGCAGTGAGTTATGTTCCCGCGCCCGCTGAGCCCGCTGGTGTCATCGGCGTAGCTCCAGGCGGTGTTTGGGCTAGCTGCTTGGGCTCTGGCTCCGCCGCGTTGGCGTTGCTCTCGGGCTTGCCGCGCGCCGCGGGCCAGGCCCTCTGCGGCCTGAAATCACGATCTGCTGCGAGTGACGCGTCATCGTCAGACTCATCATCTCCTACCCCCGTCCTCGCCCATGTAGTCCGAGGTTTTGGGATGCCGTCCATGCGTGCACTGGGTGCGCTTGTCAGTTTTTTTTGTTTGCGGTCCTCTTTCTCCGTCTCTTCTGGATCCAAGAAGTGCAGCAGCAAGGCTTCCACATGTGCGAGCTCCTCATGTAAGATACACACCTGGCTGCGGACAGTCTCGAGGTAATCCCACCAGCCCTTTGGGCGTGAGTGGTTTAGGGGGCCCGCTCTGTTCTCAACCCCCTTCTTCCCGTTCGGGGACGGGTTTACCCCTCCCCCTCCCCCCTCCCCCTGGGCCTGGAGAGGTCCTTTCGCGGGTCGTTGGAGGGGTCTTTTTCTACTCCTGGGAGGGCTAAAATTCGACACCCCTCACGAGGATCGTGGCCCCGACGGGGGGGGGGGAGAAAAGTGCTCGCCTCTTCTTTGATGCGAAAATCATTGATTTTACTAAGGTTTTGGCCCCATGTTGGCCTTCTGCGGGGGCAGCGCTAATTAAAGTTCCCCTCTTCTTTGAAGCCAAAATCATTGATTTTACTAAGGTTTTGGCCCCAGTGTGGCCTTCTGAGGGGGCAGCGCTAATTCAAGCTCCCCTCTTCTGTGATCGATTTCCTCCAAGATGGCCCCAAGAAGCGCCCAGGAGGCACCAAGAGGCCCCAAGATGGCCCCAAGATGGCCCCAAGAGGCCCCCAGGAGGCCCCCAAGAGGATCCCAAACGGCCCAGAGAGGCCCCCCCGAGGCACCCAAGACGCCGAAAAGCCCCTCAGGACGACCCTCTACTCGCCTGGCCGTCGTTTCTGGACGGGCTGGTGGGGATACGCGAAGCGTAAAGAATTACTGCTCTGTTTCGTTTTGCTAGTTCTGCAATTCGGCAAGACGCTGCCTTGCACGGCTGACGAGCTGAGCTCCTTGGCTGTGCGAGCCGAGGCCGTCCTCAATAACATGAGCTGATACAAAACCACGCTGTACTCATACCGCAACTCTTCGATTTGACGGCTGTCCAACTTGATTCCCTGCGAGCAGTGGATTTGGCGTTCGAAGCCCTCAAGCATCGCTTCCAATGCCTTCCGGAAGTCACCGAGCTCCTGCGGGTCATCTGGCGGGTCCTGCCACCTGCGACGTGCGACGCTCATTCGGGAGCGCAGGGCGAGATAAACATGATCTCGTCGTCCTCGTCACCAATTGGCCAGCCTGTGCCCTTACTATTTTGTTGCTGCCATGGTGGGACCCTCTGCTTGTCACTGCTTCTGACATCCGAACTGCTTCTGACATTCATGGGAGGTCGGGTGGCACAGGGACACGCTGTGGCTTCCCATTTGTTGACCTGGTTGCATGCTGGACATTGTCACCAGCATTTGTTTTGGGCATGCTGTCTGCGTTGTCATTATCGACCTTTGCTGCGGGGTCTAGATGGCAGCCTGCTTCTGTCACACAATCCTCGCTGGCTCCACGACGTGGCACTGGCACTGGTGGACTGCAGGGAGCTCTGTGGCGGCGACAACTTGCAGCAAGGCTCAGGACTTCCTGCGGTCCGCTCTGGCTCTCCTGTGCCAGGCGGGCTCTGGTGCGCTGTCACAGTTTGCCCTCCTGCCGCGCACCGTGACTTGACGGGGCGCGCGAGAGGTCTGGCACGTGTGAGGCCTTGCCGGCGGGAGGTTAAGCCGTTACGCTGGTACGTGCGCCCGAAATTCCCTCGAGCTGGCGATGGCCTTGGGGGGAGGGGACGGGGGATAGCGCAGGATGCCGAGGAGACGAGCGGAGGACGAGAACCGCCCTATCGCGTCCCCCGCCAGTTCCCTCCACGCTTCCCCGCCGCTCCCTCCCTTCCTCGCATGGGGGAGGGGGGTGGAGAAGAGCGGAGGAAGGGAGGGGAAGGAAGGGAGGCAAGGGAAGGGGGGTGAGGGGAAGAGGACATGGGAGAGGGAAGGCGAGCGGGGGAGCGAGGGAGAGGCAGCGACAGGCCTGCATGATGACGCACTCGTAGCCCGCCTCCTTCGACACCCCGGCCCCCCTCAGCAGGCCAGACCTTGGGAGCCGCCGGCCGCGCGGGGCCTCGTCGAGCTGGGCCAGGCCCACCCTGGGCCCAAGACCGGCATGCACATCCCCTCCCTGCCTAGCCCGGGGGATGGGCGGTGCGCACAAGGGGGTGGGGTGAGGGCAAAGGGCTTCTTAGAGGCACCCCTGCTTCTCAGAAGGCGCGGGCCTCACATCTACAGATAAGGCCCGCGCCTTCTCGGAAGCGAGGGTGCTTCTAAGAAGCCCTCCCCCCTCACCCCCCCCCCTCTGAGCGTGGCTGAGGAGAGCCGTTGTACCAGTCCCAGGCTGAGGATCGGCCTGGCCAGGATCGGTGCGGGTGCACGGCTCACGCCCTCCGAAGATCGGGGGGGGTGAGAAGAGAGGCCAGAAACGACAGAAAAGAGGGGTTAGCTGGCAGGGAGCGAGGGGAGGAAGTGAGAATGAGAAGGCCGTCTCAGAAAGGCGGCGGAACCTCTCGGCAGCCCTCATGCCTTCTGAGAGTTTCTTCGGTATCCTCGGGGAAGGCCGGGAGCGAGAGGGAGGCAGCTGCCCAGCGGCGGGGCCGAAGCCAGCTGTGCGCGGCTGACGTCGTGGCTCAACCCACCCCCCTCCCGCAGCAGCAAGGAGAATCCACACCAGCACCTCCTCCTCCCCGTCCTCCTCCTCCTCCTCCTCCTCGTCCTCCTCCTGTTCCTCCTCCTCCTCCTCCTCCTCCTCCTCCTCCTCCTCCTCCTCCTCCTCCTCCTCCCCCTGATCCTCCTCCTGCTCCTCCTCCTCCTCCTCCTCCTCCTCCTCCTCCTCCACTGATCCTCCTCCTCCTCTCCTCCTCCTCCCTCCTCCCTCCCCCCCTCCTATTCCTCTTCCTCCTCCTCCTCCTCCTCCTCCTCCTCCTCCTCCTCCTCATCCTCCTCCATCGCGAGGCGCCAGGAAGGGCCCACCTGGTGGTGCACCCCTCCTTTCGTGCGGCGCCCCACTCGAGACACCTCCACTATCTCTGGCTCTGGAGGACGTCGCGGACCTCATCGCTGGAGGTGGCCCGCTGGTGGTGGCGGTGCCGCCCTCCCAGGTCGACGCCAGTCCAGACAACATGGACCCCTGCGGGTCTGGGCCCATCTCATGGGGCCAGCTTCTCAGCCAGAAAGAAGACCGCTCCGGCAGAAGCCCGCTCTGGAAAGATTGCAACTGCAGAGACCGCTCCGGCAGAAGCCCGCTCCAGAGCTGCGGGCAGACGCCCACTGCGGCAGAAGCCTGTTTCGGCAGAAACGCTTCTTCTCTTTACTTCCTGCTGCTGGTCTCCCTCCCAGCTAATCTACATCATGTCTTATGCTGTCCCTCCTCCTCCTCATCATCCCCCGCCTCCTCCTCCTCATCCTCTTCATCATTCTGCTCCTCCCGCCCTCCCTCATCCCTCGTGTCTGCGACTTCCCCGCCGACACAACACCCACGACTTCCGTCTCCGACACACGCAAACAAACACATCAACTCTCTCTCTCTCTCTCTATGTATAGCCTACGTCTCCGCGACGATTTCCTTCGGAATTGTACACAGCCGTTATCGCCGACACGCGCCCCACTACTACACAGACTATCTACACCCCAACACTCCACCACAGCCCCCCATCTGCAAGACGGTTCCCAAACGACTTGCATAAAAAAACCAAACCCGCCCGACTGGGCCGCCGCCGACCCCTGCCGCCCGACCCGCCCGCCCCGCCCACCTCTCCAACGCCGCACACAATGCTCCACAACCTTTGTCCCCAACGCCACACCCGGTACTCCACAGCCTCCGTCTAACAACAGGCGGTACTCCACAGCCTCCATCTCCAGCACATTCCCCAGCACTCCACAGCCTCCGTCCCCAAGGCGGCGCCTCCATCAACTTGTTGAAGACCCGTGCACGCCCGCCGCCCGCCGCCCGCCGCCCGCCACCACCTGCCCCGCCCGCCCCGCCCGCTCAAACACCACACCCCGTACTTCAGAGCCCCAGTCGCTGGCAAAACACCCAGTACTCCAAAGCATACGTCCCCGACACACACACACACACACACAGCACTCCAACAGCCTCCGTCTCCAACACAACGCCCAGTACTCCACAGCCTCCGTCTCCACCACGCACCCCCGTTCTCTGCAGCCCCCGCCTCCAACACAACACCCAGTTACCCCACAGCCTGCGTGTCCGACACACACACACACACCAAAGTACTCCACAGCCTCAGTCTGCGACACGACTTCTTCAGGAACTGTGTGGAAACAGCCCGAGCCCGCCCGCCGCCTGCCGTCGCAGCCGCCCGCCGCCAGCCAAGCCCGCTTTCCCAGCACCACACAAATCCACAGCCTCCTTACCCAACACAGCACGCCAAAAGTCCACAACCCTCGTCTACAAGACACACCCATATACTTCACGACCTCCGTCTCCAACACACCCAGCGCTTCACATCCTCCGTCGCCGACGCACACACCACTGCTCCAGATCCTCCGTCTCCAAAGAACGAAAAACGAGACCGCCCGCTGCCAGCCGCCCAATCCGCCGCACCGCCCGCTCTTCCCGCCTTGCCAACACCACACCCAATGCTCCACAGCCTCCGTCTCCAAAACAACACGCGGTACTTCACAGCCTCCGTCTCCAACACAGAACACCAAGTACTACGCAGCCTCCGTCTCCAACACACACACACAGAGTACTCCACAGCCTCTGTTTCCAAGACCGCTTCTTCAGGAATTAAAAGCATTATCCACAGCATCCGTCTCCAAGACGGTGCTCGTAGGAGCTGTATTGCAAACAATACGTACCCGAGACGTGCCCAAACCCCTCTCCACGCGAGGCGTATACCTGGATGAACGCTCCATACAACAAAAGAACACATCGCCAGATATGCACGGTCAGGGCTGCCCTCATCCTCGCCGTGCCTCCCAGGAGACCACGAAAGTGGCGACAATTGCGCAGTTCGCAGCCTCACAGGAAGCTGCGAGGTGTCGGCTGGATCCGCGTGGCCCCCGACTCCGCTGGACCTCCAGGAGCCCACGACAGTGGCGACAATTGCGCGGCTCGCAGCCACCCATGGATCAGCGACGTCGCGAACGTGTGCGCGTGGCTCCCGGCTCCGCTGGACGTCCCAGGAGCCCGCGGCATGGCTGACAATTGCGCAGGTCACGGCCTCCCGGGGAGCAGCGAGATCCCAAATGGGACCGCGTGGCCCCCGACACCCCTGGCCCTTTCGGGAGCCCACGGCAGTGGCTACCATTGCGCGGCTCGCAGCCACCCGGGGAGCTGCGAAAGGCTCGTCTGGGTGCGCGTGGCCCCGGACTCCGCTGGACCTCCCAGGAGCCCACGGAAGTGGTGACAATTACACAGTTCGCAGTCACCCAGGAAGCTGCGAAGTCTCGGGTGCTCCACAACATCAAAAAAAACAAGGCACAGCAATCAACAAAACATCCAAAAGGTTTTTTGAGAGGGAGGGTCCTGCGTGGGTCAGAGGAGGAGACCCTGGAAAAGATCCGACGTGCAACAACTCCATCAAAAGGAAGCGCTTTTTGAGTATCCCTGGGAGGCCGGAAGAACCCTAGAAACATCCCAGAAACAAAACACCCGCAAAAACCTGAAGCAAGTTGTTTGGGGGGGGCTCCTGAGGGAAAGGGGGCGGAGAAACCCTCTAAAAGCACACGAGACAACACACGCACACCACACTCACACACACAAACAAAACACGCATCCCAAAACAACTGAACAACCCCCGAAGGGCACAAACACACAGAAAACCATGCTGAACACACACGCACACGCACAAGACCAGCCGACAACAAGAAACGACACTCGACCTAACAGCATTACACAACAAACAACTACACACCGTACAGAGCAACAAGACAGCAACACCAAATTCCCCCCAAAAAGGCAAGCACAAAAACACTACAACCAAACAAGACACGTTCCTTTGAACCGAAAAACACAAGGGGGGTCACGGGGGGTCCGGGAACTGCCACACCCTACTGCCCAGTGCTCCACAGCTTCCGTCTCCCACACAAAGCCAGTACTCCACAGCCTCCGACTCCAACACGCCCCCCAGTACTCCACAGAACCCGTCTCCAACACTGCCCCTGCCCCTCAGTCTCCTTCGCCAACAAACACACACACAGACGTACTCCACAGCCTGCGCCTCCAAAGCGGCTTCATTAGGAGTTGCATTCTAACTTGTCAATGCAAAACACAAGTTTACTAAACAAACACACACACACACACACACACACGCAAACACACGACGCGCCCACCGCCGCCGCCCGCCACCTCACCCCCCCCCACTCCCTCGTCCTCGTCCTCGTCCTCGTCCTCGTCCTCGTCCTCCTCTTCCTACTCTAGAGGCCGTCCGAGTAGATGGGGTCGAGGGATCGCGCCGCACCAACGACGCCAGCGATGCATGGACGATGTCAGCGTGGAGAAAATCGGGCTCCCCATCGAGCCGCATCGCCGATGCATCCGCGATGCGGCGCGATCCTCTGACCCCATCTATTCCGACCCCATCTATGCGGCTTCGATACTCCTCCTCCTCCTCCTCCTCCTCCTCCTCCTCCTCGTCCTCCTCCTCCTCCTCCTCCTCCTCCTCCTCTCACCACTTGCGTCCCCCCTGCCTGGCGCCCCAGCGCCTGAGCGAGCGGGTTTCCGGGCGAGCGGGCTTCTGGGCGAGCGGGCTTCTGGGCGAGCGGGCTTCTGGGCGAGGGACCTCTGGGCGAGCGGGCTTCCCGGCGAACGGGCCTGCATCTTCAGCCAGAGCTCCACAGGCCCCAGGGCGCAGTAAGGGCCCTCCTCTAGACCCTTTCTTCTGGAGCCCGCTGCTCAGCCAGACGTTTTTTGACAGACTCGAAGGCACAGCATGTCGGCCCCCAAGTGCCGAGCCAATGTCCAAATGCCTTCCGTAATTTTCTTGCTCGCGACGCCTGGGGTGGGTCTGGGAGCCCAAGACCGTACCACGGAAACGGTATCCGTGAACAGCACGTCGCGGCTGCCGTAGTCCACGAGCATGGCCTGCTGAGGGGCAACGTTAGGGGGGGGGACTGGATGAAAGGGGGGCAAGCATCGGCCTGGAATCGAGGATACATCACCGATAGATCGGCGATGGGCCCTCGATAACGAAACCGCGCGGTGCTGGGCGGGGTGGGCCTTCAGGACCCTAGCTATCGGCGAGCAATGGGCGATTGGGAGCCGATGTTTTCCCGCACCTCCCATCTGAGCCGATCCAAAATATCCGCGCGGACCTGTGGAAGCAGATGCTTGTGTCGTTGTTCCTCCCCCGATGGAGAAGGTGGGAGAAACCAGAAGACACTGATACTGCTACTCCCCGGATCTCCAGGGGTGGCTTCCGACTACAATTTCGAGGCAAATCCAGCAGTGGCCGCAAGGGCCTCCCAGGAGGCCCGAAAAGGTGGAAACGAAGTAAGGGTGGCGGTAACCCTATCCAGCAATCAAAAGAAGCCCCCTTTTTACTATAGTGAACACAGGATCGAAGATCCAAAATCCGGCGGGGCGGAGTCAGCGGAGCGATAGAAGAATTCCCCTCCCCTCCGAACGCAAGTACTCCTCCTTCTCCTCCCATCGATCGTAATTCACACCTCTCCCTTCGTCCGCACGCGATGGGGTCCTCTGTCCACCCTCCTCCTCTTCCTCCTCCTTATCCTCCTCCTCCTCCTCCTCCTCTTCTCGTGTTTCTTCACGGCCCCTCCTTCCTCATCATTTCCGCTTTCTCCTCCCCGCCCCTGCCCTATACGATTCCTATTACAATCCTCGAAGAGAACTTGATTTGCATCAGCCGTCCGAGGGGGAGGACAACCCCAGGGTATCGCCCCCAACCTGCACGGAACGCTATCTTAGCACAAAGGCACGCCAGTCTAACCCATTCCCTTCCGCGACAGCACGGAGCGTTACAAAAGAACTGGGGAGCGCCGAGATGAATTCGAAGCATTAGCAGAAGCAGTCATAGTTGTAGCAATCGTAATGGAAGTATAAGTGGTTGTCGTGGTATTAGTAGTAGTAGTTTTTGTAGTAGTAGTAGCAATAAAAGTAATAGAAGTAGTAGTCGTGGTCGCCGTCGAAGCCGTAGTCGTAGCCGTAGTCGCAGGTGCAGTAGATGTAGTATAAGTAGAAGTAGTAGTAATAATAGAAGTCGTAGCCGTAGAATGAGTACTAGTAGTAGAAGTAGTAGCAGAAGTCGTGATAGTGGTCGATGTAGTAGAAGTAGTAATGATAGTATTAGTAGTAGCAGTAGTAGTAGTAGTAGTAGTGGTAGTACTAGTGGTAGTAGTAGTAGTAGTAGTAGTAGTAGTAGTAGTAGTACTAGTAGTAGTAGTAGTAGTAATGGTGGTCACAACAAATAACAAGAGTAGAAAAAGCTGTAGTAGTAGTCGTAGTCGCCGTCGCAATCGTAGTTCGAGTCCTTGTGGTGGCAACAGTAGAAGTAGGCGTAGTAGTAGTAGTAGTAGTAGTAGCAGTAGCCGTCGTAGTACTAGAAGTAGTAGTAGCAGAAGTGGTAGTGGTAGTAGTAGTAGTAGTAGTAGTAGTAGTAGTAGTAGTAGTAGTAATAGTAGTAGTAGTAGTAGTAGTAGTCGTGGTAGTGATAGCAGGGGTAGAAATCGTACTAGAAGTAATAAAAACTGGTCGTAGTCGTACTCGAAGTGGTAGTCGTAGCAGTCGTGGTGGTAGTAGTGGTAGTGGTAGTGGTAGTGGTAGTAGTGGTAGTAGTAGTAGTAGTAGTAGTAATAGTGTGGTGGTTGTAGTAATAATACTAGAAGTCGTAAGCGTAGTA